AGTTTGGATATGTACCTTTTCCATATTATTTTTCTAGGAAGCATTGATGTAATAAAAACATGTTTTATAGATGGTTAGGTCTATATGGCTTATAATTAGAATATGGGGTAATAGGAGGAGAATAGCATTAAAATATCTGAATTGAATGCACTTAAAAATATATATACGAACAATGTGGGGTTTGGTTTTTGTTGTTGTTATTTGTTTTGTGCCAATACAGTTGGCCCTCCATATCCATGGGTTTCCCATCTGTGGATTCAAGTAACCAAGGATTGAAAATATTCAGAAAAAAAAATTTAGATCTGTACTGACCATGTACAGATTATTCTTCTGGTCATTATTACCTGAACAATACGATATGACAACTATTTGCATAGCATTTACATTGTATTGGGTATCGTAAGTAATTCAGAGATGATTTAAAGTATACAGGAGGATGTATATAGGCTATATGCAAATACTACACCATTTTATGTTAGGGACTTGAGCATTCACAGATTTTCGTATCCCTGGGAGGTCCTGGAATCAATCCCCCAACAGATACTGAGGGATGACTCTATATGTAAAGCTAAGATCAATAACTTATTTGGAAATTTTATTTTGTTAGCATTATCAAAGTTTATAATTTAATTAATATGCATGGGGAGTTGTTTGTATTATAGTCTATTGAATAAAAATGAGTAATAACAAATTCTAAGTCGACAAACCTCATTAAATCATGTTTATGATATCTCTAAATAAATTTAAATCTTATTACCTTATTCTTCCTCCATCTCTTTCAGAAAATTACTTAGAGCACATATAGTAAAAATTCAGATGTCGTTTCAGCCAATGTGTACCTTTAAATATTCAGTCTGGACATAAGTAATATGGAGTCGCAAAACTGATAGTGTTACAGCTAATTCAGAGAATAAATAAATGAAGTTTAGCTTAAAGAAGCAGTGCTATCCAGGAAATAGTGCCTCTGTACCAGTTAATAAAACACATCTTGCCTGGGCCACCTGAGTGACTAGTTATCACTCAGGCTAGTTATCTGATCACCCTATGCTTTGAATTTAGTTTGTTGTTTGGTATCAATAATACTTGCTATCATCAGAGATCTTCATTTTTTCTCAAATAAGTGGGCATTATGTTCAAATAAGCATGGATAATAATATTACATTGCTATTTATTAACCAGTGGTTATAGAATTCAGCATTGTGGCCTTACTATAATCCCATATGAGAAAGAAATGGAAGAAATTTTTGGCTCTGGTTTTAGAATTATTCTGTTTCATCAAGTGAATATATTTTAATATTTTTTAAAAATAATGTCAATGTAGCACCTTTTGCTAGGGATCTGAAAAATGTTTGCAGACATTACTTCTTAAATCCTAAAAATATCCCTTTGAGGTAGGTGGGTGGTAAATGTTATTATCCCCATTTTACAGATGGAGAATTGAGGCACAAAGAGATTATGTGACTCACCTAAGGTCACACTACAAGTCAGTGGTGGAGCCAGGAATAGAACCCAAGACTCCTGACTCCTAATCCACTCCCTTAGCCACTAGGCCCTGCTCCCTCCTCAAGGTTTCCTCTTGTGTGAAATTCTCCTTTGAAATGCAATTTCTTGTTTTTAATTCATGGGGAAAGAAGTACCTGCTCTAATACTTCTCTAGGTAAGGCCACCAGCATATTCTTCCAGTCAATTCAAGTTTTAATTTTTTGGAATTAGGAGCTCTTTATATAATT